GAGCGGGCCATAGATGAGGTGTACCATCTGTGGTGTCTGGCGGGGGGGGACCTGGAGAAAGAGCTCACCAACAAGGAGATTATACAGGCCAAACCTCCAATCTGCACATTGCCCAAGTACGTTACACACACACATATACACTGATGACGAAGGCATTTGCTAACTTCAGGTGGTAAACAGACTTGATAAAACATCTCCCTCTACCTTTGTTTTTTTTAGTTTTGTCCTGGAAGACGGGGAATCATTTGGCCAGGGAAGAGACCGGAGTTTCTTGCTTGACGACACAACAGTGACCCTGTCTCTGTGCCAACTCAGAAACGTAAGACGACAAACACAAGTACAGTATTGTGTTAATGTGTGTATTGTGCATAGGGTTGGGTTTGACGTAGGGCTTAGCGATATGGAGAAAATAAAATATCACCATATTTTGACCAAATACCTTTTTACATCGATGTTGCAACGATATCGTAGGGTTTACTATTGGTGCTTTTAAAAACATTTGAACAACAGAGCACTCATTAACCGTTACATTATTATTATTATTTTTTTATTTTGCAGGGACAATGCACACCAATCAACAGTAGAACTGTAAGTCAGCCAGAGTTAGCCAGAGAGGCTAATTTCCATCTGCAGTCCCCGGCCAGATGTTTCAAGGCAGCCTAAAATAACAAAATATCAAATGGCAACGGAATTAAAATTCATAGACAAACGGACAGCAACGTATAGACAAAACCAATACACAGCAAAAGAAAAGAGTACGCCATTAGAGCAGAGCAGACATAACAGGCTGCAGCATGCTTCAGGCAGAACAAACCCTCCTACAGTACAAGCACATATACAGTATAACACTGAAGCACATAACATACACATCAAAAAATAGAAAATAGCAACACTGAACAAGACAAATGCACATATAGGCGAAACAAGCAGGCAGGACAGAGAGCACATCAATGCTTGCACACATGATTGGCAACAAGCCATTCCTTAAGGTTATGCTTGAATGTTTTGTATGTGTTTTGTGGGCGTATGTGTGGTGGCAGAGCATTCCATGAGTGAGCTGCCTTCACAGAGAATGTAGATTTCTATTGATAGGTGCTTGTTTATCCCACTAGCTGACAACTGTTCCATTAACAATACAATACTACGTTTATGTTGTAAGCGGTTCCAAAATGCACCTGTGAACAGAATTTAGCCTTAATTGTGAATCTGTTACGTTTTTCATTTGTCAGAAACTGAAGGATGTATCAGGAGAAGCCTATTACCCTCTACTGGAAGACGAGTAAGCAATCTCCATCCCAAACGTTCCGCTTTGGCCCCTCCACTCCGTCACTATTTTTCACATCACCCCGTCATTTATTTTGGCTCGGCTAATGTCACAAACCCTTTACTTCTCCCTCCTTCAGACAGTCAAGTCTGCCCCAGTCCACCAGCAGCAATGAGCTGTCGGCCACCGTCACGCTCCCACTCATCATCCGAGAGAGAGACACCGAGTACCAACTCATCCGCATCATCCTGTTTGACAGGCTGCTCAAGGTCTGCTCCGTACACACACACACACACACACCTTAACAGCACATACATTCACACATGAGCATGTGTTCCCCAATTAGACAGAGTGCCTCAATATGTCAGTGCTAAGTGCTTGTTTCAACTCAATTATTATTTGTATTATCATTTAAACAGGATACTGTTGAATCAGAGCTTGGTCATTTATACTCGGTTTCATGTTTTGTCTTCAGGCCTATCCTTACAAGAAGAACTTCGTGTGGAAAGAGGCCAGAGTGGATATTCCCCCTCTTGTTCGAGGTCTGGCGTGGGCAGCACTGCTTGGCATTGAGGTACAGGAGAATTGTCGTCCTGTGTTGAGAAAAGCTGCAGTTTTAACATTGTTTTGCGCGGACATTTATCATTTATTTTCTTTGTTTTTACACAGGGAGACATTCAAGCCAAATACGAGAGCATTGACAAGGATACTCCCATACCAACTGACAGACAGGTAACTTATTTAAAAGAAGACAGCCGTAACAAGTTTAAAACTTTTTTGGCTTCATTCTTTTGTTGGGTGTGTTTTTTTTGCATGCCTACAGATTGAGGTGGACATCCCGCGCTGTCACCAGTACGATGAGCTGCTGTCGTCTCCTCAGGGCCACATCAA